ATGAAAAAGAAAGAGAAGAAAAAGAAGAAGAAAGAAAAGAGAAGAAGTGAAGAAGGATGAAAAAGAAAAAAAAGAGAAGAAGTGAAGAAGGATGAAAAAGAAAAAGAAGAGAAAGAAGCTTATCGAGAAGACGGTTTAGTTATCCGACTTATGTATGTACTGGTAAATACAAAACGTCGTATTCGATTCCCTTCGAAGATAAGAAGGTAACGTGCGCGCGGGCGCACATGGCTTACAAGTCGGGAGTTGGACGAATAAGAGAAGAACGAGAGAAAAGGAAACGACTTACTTCTTTTCAAGGGGAAGGGAGAAAGAAGCGCGTTCTCTTTCAACTTCGTGACACGAACCATTACCTCGCACACGTCGACGTAGTCAGGGTAGGTAGATGGAAAGAGAGGGAAAGAGGGCGAAAGAGAAAGAGACGGAGAAGAAAGGAGAGAGGGAAGGAGGGTGGGAGAGAAAGAGAGAGAGAGAGAGACAGACAGACAGACAGACAGACAGACAGACAGACAGAGACAGAGAATATACATGAAGTGGTGGCTGCGAGCCGCTGCTTTTCACGACACGCACGAACGTCCGGACTCCGAATGGATTTTAAAAGGCAGTGAGTCAGACGATTCTTCTCGGAAAGTTGATACTATTCCAGCGTGAATGGAAAGAAAACGTCGACGTAATTATGCGTCAGTGATTCCTCTTCTTCTACGAAGGGCTCTCTCTCTCTCTCTCTCTTCCGCTCCTTCTCTCTCTTCCGCTCTCTCTCTCTCTCTCTCTCTTCCGCTCCTTCTCTCTCTTCCGCTCTCTCTCTCTCTCTCTCTTCCGCTCTCTCTTTCTTTCTCACTTTTGCTTCTACCTTATCTAAGGTGGCATAGTCTTAAAATAATTTTCGATCGAAACACAACGTTTAGCTAAAATAAGTAGAATTCTACTTGAACGAGAACTCTTCTTACTTTATCAAAAGAAATAGATTCATAAGTCTTGAAATTATTCAATTTTCACTTACACAGAGCTCTCTACTAAGAGATCAATTCAAGTTTATATTCGATTTCGAGATGGAAAGGAGAAAAAGAGAGAGAGAGAGAGAGAGCACGTCGTTTGAAAATGAAGTTAATGTACGAATGAATGTATCGAGAAAAGTATTAGTCATGGAGCTATAAATATGTGAAAAATGTTTGCCTTAATTAATTCATGGTGTATTACGTTACTCATATATGTATATACAGATTCATGCATTATGAAATCATCATCACGCTTAAAATATACTTTTCTAAATTATCCGATCGGAGTAGTGAATTCCTATAAATACAAACGCCTTATACAAATACATTTAATGAATCAACAAATCGTTAAATACATCGTTGAACACATCGAAACAAATTAATCATGTATCCGTGGTAAAGGATCATCCTCTCTTTCAATCTTATTATCAGGGAAAATAAAAAATAGTTATATTTATCCGATCATAAATAGATAATATTTTTTATTCGAGAGAACAGAGTATCTTTCGTAACAACAGCAAGGTAGATACAGAGTATTACAAGGTAGACACACAAAATATCTTGAAGTCTTCTCCCGTGACACATATTCGGTTTCTCGAGCCGCGTAACTACGTTCTATGCATAGCTTTTGGCGACAGATTTATAGAGATTTTGTGTCCTGTAAAAAAATCCACCTCCTTTTCCTCTTTCATCTCTCCTTTCTCTTTCTCTTCAACGCGAAGCTTCTTTCTTCTTTTTTCAGGATAGAAGTCTCCAAGGACGCGTTAAAACCCAACGTTGACGTACGGGCGAACAAGAACGCGTACGCGGCTTGTGGACGATCTGCATAAAAAGGTTCGTCGTCTCGTAAAATTTCAAAGCGTCAACGAAAAGGAGGAAAGATCACTTTGGTAAATTTGACATATAATATTTTTTCGACGTATGAGATAATGACTCGCGAAGGCAAAAATATAATCATACCTTTTTTTTTCTCGTCATTGTCATATATTTATTTTTCTTTTTATTTTTCTTATCTACACCATAGACGAACGACGAAAAATCGACTGTTTTCTTTCCTAAAACGTTCGAACCGAAGACATAACAAAATAAAGGAATCCACGTGCATAGGTAAATCTTACCGAAGCCTTTATCCTGGCATATCAGCGTCTTCTCTCTCTCTCTCTCTCTCTCTCTCTCTCTCTCTCTCTTTCTCTTTCTCTTTCTCTCACACACACATTTTCGTTGGATGCATTCGCCGAGACGACTTGACATTTTTCCAAGGGTCACGTTCGAAACTGATTTATGTCGACGGGATAACGACGGTGGAATATGTGAAAAGTCGTAAAAGAAATTCGATCTGCCAAAAGAGAAAGAAGAGGGAAAGGGTGGAGAGGAGCTCAGAGAAAAGGAGAGATCGGTGTCGCCGTTAAGCGTTATCGTTCGATAGCACTAAAGTGACAAATCTTCGTGAAAAATCGGTGAACCGGCCAATTATGGGCGCATTCAACTGGATGCTTCTTTCTGGCCATAGTTCCGAAACTTTATTATCCTTACTACGAGCTCCGATACTTTTTTTTTTTCAATGCGGTAAGAATCAACGAGCGAAGAAAAAATATTAGCATGACCCAGGCTAGCTTTTATCGTAGCTTTTAGTTGAATCGTTTTTACGTTAAAAGGAAAAAAACTAAATCTATATATATATAAATAAAAAATAAATATATACGTATATATAGATTAATCGATTTGACCTAGTTATTTTAATGAAAATTAAAAGCAGTGAGATTAAATTCTTTTAATAATTTTCATCAGCTCGTCCATGGCTCAATGACGAGACACTCGACGTGTGTATATATATATATATATATATATATATATATATACATACACACACACACACACATTCGTAGGTCGCCTTTCGGAGCACGGACCTGGATCCGGTTCTCCTCTTCTCGTGTCGAAGGAGAGAAAGACGGATAGTACTTTGTGCAGGGAAGAGCGAGGGGATATGAGTACAGCCGACTCGATCGCGATCTTAAGGATCGTTGACCGTGACGATTCCCTACTCGCTTATACTCCTTCGATTATTCCTCGCACATTTCTTCGTCGATTTATACGTGCATGTATCTCCTTTAACGTGAACTGCATCGAATTGTTAAGTAGACCACAAGATCTTCGAAGGTGTTGCATATCATTATAGAATAAATTCAAGGCGTATCAGTAATCCGACCATGATAACGCATTTCTATGCATTTCTATGCATTTATGGATTTTCATAATAAAATTTGAAATATCGTATACGTTCGATATACGATTTGAAACGTAGATAAGTTATTGAAATAATTAGAAAATTTCGTTCCTTTTATACATAGACGAAGATTGTATTATATAATTTTTTCTTTTTTAACCTTCGTCTCGGAGATAATGTCTATGTACCTAAATTTAAGAGCAAAGTAATGCCAACAAAATTTACATTCTATCTTATGTTACGGAGAAACAAACAAAAGGATTTCCTCTTTCTTTCTCTTTCTCTCTCTCTCTCTCTCTCTCTCTCTCTCTCTCTCTCTTTCTCTTACCCCTTCTGTCTCTTTTTCTCTTTATCTTTCCGGCATTTTTCATAACAGAAATCTTAAATACACAATTATTCGTACTCCATTTCAACAACGTATAGATAAAATGCGGTTACGTAAATAACAAGAGTAAATCGATTCTCGAATAGAGGGATATAAAGAAAAAAAAAAAATGTATTTGTTTTTCGTTAATACCACCGAAAGTAACTCCCTCTTGAACTCGCCCTACGATGAGCATTTCTTTTTCTCCTCTAACCTCGACCTACGACCACAAGGAAATCCTTCCTTTGCTCAACGTAACTTTCAACAAACGAAACGCGCAAAAAACTAATCACGTAGCGATCAATGGGATCGAATAGTAATCGACTTTAAAGACGAAAAAAGGCACAAAACGAACACAGGAACGTGAACGACGAGTACCAAACGAAAACTTCGGAAATCAAACACCGTGCTTTCTGTTTGAAAAGAAAAAAAAATTAAATAAAAAAGAAAGAAAAAGAAAAAAAAAAGAAATAAAAAGAAGAAGAAAAGAAAAACAATGAAAATACTCTAAATAAAATCCAAGTTGATGATCGAGTTCGATACGTAGTAAAAACGTTTACTGAAATGTACTAAACAATATGAATAGGTCATGCTAGACGATAAACGACGCTAACGATAACAACGTTTTCAGGTGGGGGGGGGGGGGGGGGTGGAAAGAGAAAAAGAGAACAAAACGAATTTTCCAATGGTCATCGACAAGACGAAATTTTTGCGGATACGTTAGTATCATTCGTGGTCATCATGGTTACTTAATGGTCATTTCAAGAAAGAAAAAAAGAAAAAACAAAAAAATAAAAAGATAAAAAAGAACATATACGTAATTTTTCAATATAAATAAATATAAATAAACATTTCCGATTTTTTTCAAAGTACATACGCGCACGATCCTTCACGTATAAAATCTCCAGCTCACATAATTCATTGCATTCAATCGTCGCGAGTTTTTCAGATTATCGTACGAAATTAAATGCATTAGGATCTATAAAAATGGAAAAGAAATAGAAAGGGCAGACAATAGAAGAGTAAAGGATTAGTTCTTCGGTGGAACCTTCCTTCCTTCCTTCCTTCACCATGCTGCACGAGATTCCATTCCAAAGTAGTCCCGTTCACACGCTGCAAAGGTAGGATCGAGTCGGGTTACGACCTCGTGTGACACGGACACGGACACGGCCACGGCAAGACAAGGTAGGCCAGCTTTTCAAAGTTGACTCCTTGTTCGCGTGCCCCAAGGAAACCTCAACGATGTCTTCTTGCCGACGAAGGTAAGGAGAAGATATGATGAAGAAGGGAGTAGGATAGAAAGAGTGAGCAAAGGAATGAAAGAGAGAGAGTGAGAGAGAGAGAGAGAGAGAGAGAGAGAGAGAGAGAAAGAGAAAGAAGAAGAAGAAAGAAAAAAAAGAGAAGAAGAGAATCATACGGTTAGAGTTCCATACAAGGTGACTTCTCTCGGCTTCTTCTTTCTTCTTTCTCCTTTCTATCCTTCATTTATCAGTCTTCTTCTCTCGTCTAACTCTTTATTTAGTATCGTTAAATATCGTTTCAACGAAATCAAGGTCTCCACTTTTGCGAGATCGTTAAAATCACTGGAAAATATCATGGTGGAACACTCACCTTGAAAGAATATAAAGAATCCCGGAGAAAAAGTTTGGTATCCTTTGACCTCTTCTCTCTCTCTCTCTCTCTCTCTCTCTTTCTTTCTTTCTTTCTTTCTTTCTTTCTTCCTTCCCTTCGTTCTCTCCCTCTTTCTTTATATATCTCCCTTTTCCTCTCTATCTTTCTCTCCCTCTCTCTGTCTCTCTCTCTCTTTCTCACTCTTTTTCTTCCTTTTTTCTTCTTTCTTCCTTGTTCACAAGGAACAACGCTCCACGCGCACCAGCTGCGAGACACCAAAAAGCACGACCGTTGAAAAACTCTTAGGAAAACTCGTCTAAAACTTGGCACTCTATCTATCCATCTATCTCTTTCTTACTTCGTTTCTTCTGTCAAAAAAACTTGCTTCGGGCTTATCTGACACACCGTATCGTACTATCCATCTCGTGCTCCAAAGCGCATCGCCTTGAGCTAAGATCGTTCTAATGGTGGAAAAGAAGGGGAGGAAGAAAAGAAGAAGAAGGAGAAGGAGAAGGAGGAGAAAGAGGAATAAGAAGAAGAAGAAGAAGAAAAGATTAGAAGGAACGCTCGAAATCACGTGGTCTCGCGTCGCGTGAAACACAAAAGCGACCGTTCGAAGAAGTGACGCTAAACTTTTGAAAGGAAGAGAGAAGGGCTACGGGGGATGGAGGGAAAAGGGGATTAGAAGAAAATGAAAAGATTTGCCAAGGGAAGTAAGATTATTTTTCCTACCTCTCCTTTATTTTTTTTTCCCCTTCTCTTTTCTCTCTTTCTATTCCTTGGAAATATGATAATTTGTGCGTAGTCACATGGCGCGCGCACTACGTTAATGAAAAAAAAAAAAATAAATAAAAAGGAGAAAACTGCACTCTTTCTTCGTAAACTTGTGGAAAAAAAACTTGGAATAAATTTAATGTAAAACTTTTTCGGAATTGGATAAACTATAAGCGTAGCAGAACTCGATGGACAACGCGCGAAGAAAACGCGTGCGGAGATAAAGGACGCGTAAACGCGCGGAAATTAAGCGACGCGCACGCGACCCACGCGCGATCGAGACTCGGAAAGACTGAAAGCGGAGCGTCGATCGAGCCTCACGCTCGCGACCGGTGCGCTCCTCTCGGTAGACCGGTGTACTAATTCTGAGCCTTCCAAGGAGTTTCTTTCTCTCTCTCTCTCTCTCTCTGTCTCTCTCTCTCTCTTTCTCTCTCTCTTTCTCTCTCTCTTTCAGTCGGCTGGCTCTGTTATACGAACGTTGTATGGAAGTATGTGCGTGCGCGTTGCTTCGACTGGTGGTACATTCATTTTCTTTCCTTTTCTTTACGATCTTTCCTTCCCACTTTTCTCTTAAGATCTTAATTTTTCGAATTTGACGTTCACCAAAAAGAAGGAAAAGGAAGAAACTTTACTGTAGAGAACGTCCAAGAAGATTAACGAGAAAGATGATGAATTCTGTTACGCGTTTGATTGGTTCTCTTCCACAAATAATTAGTTCGTTAATATGGTATTTCAAGATATTTTCATTGAACCTTTTTCGAAGAGAATCGATCAATAGTTCGGAATGTAAACGCGTTGAATCCGATAATTACGTTGTCCATTAAGTGGTAATTTTAATTGAAGTTTTAAAATGAAAGAACATATTATCAACATCGAGATATACATATGTATATAAATAAAATACAATTTTCTTTTTTTTTTTTTTCTTAAAGAAATTATCTAAGTATTGAACAGATAATACAACCTTCGAATTTTAAACTGATAGTAGACCCTTTCAGGGCTTTTCAATAGTTCCATGCTCCATTTTGACATATATAAAAAATCTCGAACAATCATAACGAAAGTACTTGCGTCCTTGGCCACTTGGTGACAACAATCAAAGACTTTTTGATGGTCGCCGTTTATTTGAAAAAGTAGAAAGCGAATGCTGGCACGAAGGACAGAAGGTTACGAAGTAACGAAACGACTTCTATAGATCTTTTCTACGGTTGTAAGTATTATATAAGATAAGAATGTGTTTTTCTTTCAATACTCGTAGCTATATACATTATATATGAGTTTATGTTTGTGTGTGAGAGGAGAAAGAGAGAGAGAGAGAAAGAGAGAGAGAAAGAGAAATAACCGGTCTATACTATGAACGTGAACGGATGTTACAAAAGCATTTTTCTCTCTCAAAAAAAGAAAAAAAAAAGCAAAATGAACAAAATCGAGAGGGGAAATTTAACAATAGTTTCGTTTCTCGACGAAGGCTCACATCGTGTAATGAGAAAAGAAATCTGCATGCAATTTACAGAGGAGATAATTACATAGGTACACGGCAACAGCTGGTCACGATGCAGTACCTTCTACATAGTTAAAAAGATCGATAATGAATATTTCTATGCTTGTGGAGCTTTTAGGTAATTCTATATATTTTCGATATAAAATTGATAGTGATATATTATCAGATACGTTCACGACTAACATGTTCTAATTATTATATATTAACAAGAAACATTATAGTATGTGATTTGTTAGGATTTTATATCAACACTTTTTATATCGTAAATAAATTCAGTTGGTAATAAGTATCTATAAGTACCTATCTATTATCAATATCTACGTCATTTGTAATGTAGATTTATCGTCGAAACGTTTCATTTGAAACATTTAGATACATGTTACCCGAAAATCTCTGTTTTTTTGATATACAAACTCGACCGAGTTTGTAGACGATTTACGTCGGGCTTAGTGAAAGTAAACGTGAAAAACGAAACTAATCACGGAAGGCTCGATAATTTATTCCAACGTAAAGGATCAAAATTGCATGGATCCGAGAATCAAAGGAAACAAAGACCACCTTAAAACGTTTCTCCGATTCTTTTTCTATTTCTTTTCTGTCTTCTCTCTTCGTTATTATCCCTTTGACAAAAAGAATTATAAAACGATTTATAATGATCGCGCTTTGAACAGAATTATTATTTTGTTGACGTTAAATTCTATTAGATATTTTTCTTAGTAACAAATTTAACTTTTAAGAACAATAACATCATCACTACCAACAACAAGACATATTATTACGAATTACATATTTTTAAGATAAATTTTACTATCCTATTACGTTAACAATCATTTCGTCGGATTGAATTATCATATTACTTATAGTACACTTGTATGTGTACATATACATATATCATGTTTTTTTTTTTTTTTAATTTCATTGATTCAGAGACTGGTATGTATCGGAAACGTGACACGATAAACAAAGGACACAAAAAGCCATGCATCGGGAGAGGGTGGGATAAGTAATTAAAACTCTAAAGTTCACGTACCGGCGTCTACTCTTTGGTAGACAGATGTTGAAAATCGAGGGTCGAATTAATTGAACGTACCTATTGCCTGCGTACTCTCTCTCTCTCTCTCTTTCTCTCTCTCTCTCTCTCTCTCTCTCTCTCTCTCTAACTCTTGTTGGCTCTTTTCGTTTCTCTTACTCTCTCTTCGCATTCGGTCCCCATCTTTTGAAGTCACGTGACTTGGAATATAACCAGCTTGTGCTTTCTTCTCCTATCGTCCAGCTTTAGTAGAATACAGACAATGAACAGTATTGTAAGCCCTTCGGATTTCTGCTCTTTATAAAATTCAATAAATATAAGTCATCGTCGTCGTCGTCGTAGCGTCTCGTAGCCATCGTCGTTGTTGTCGTCGTCGTCATCATCGTTATCTCGTTAAAGATCGGAACTAAACTAATAAAATTGAATCGTCCGACAAGTAAACAAAGTTGATCACTAATTTTATGTATCTCTGAAGAAGATATAAAATTTTATTGATCGCTTGTAAACAAAAATTTTATATGAAGTATTCAGAGAAAATAGTGAAAATCAAATATTTCGAATAATCCTAGACTATTGATGTAAAATTGATTGATGTCTGTAGAGAAAGAGAGTTTGATTCTCGAGAGGAATAAAGTTCCATCTACGCATAACAACTGGGTAGCGATATAAATACGATTTATTAGCATCAATTGAGTTAAATTACGCTTTATTAATTCTACTCTCTTCCCCCCTTCTCACCCTCTCTCTATTTCTCTCCCTTTCTCTCACTCGTTGTCATATCCCCTTTGTTGATTGGTGGACAATGAGCGATTAGGTTTTCTTTTTCTCATTCGATCGACATACTTCTCTTGGATATTGCTGTAGTGTATCGTATTTTACGATATCTTGATTTTTCCAGCCATAGCCAATACAATCTCATAGGATTTTAGAAGAGAGAAAGAGAGTTTATAATCGGATTAATATCCATAGAAATTTTCATTATAATAGAAAATATTATAAAAGAAAGGAGAATAAATAATTCAAACATTCAATTTCTTTTTGTTTGTTCGAACATTACATTTGTAGTTTAAAAATCCTTATTAATGAAAGTGAATGCATATGAAAAAGAATAAATCGGTTTTTCATAGCAATTAAAATTTTAAAAATTACACACACGCACTCGCATATATATATATATATATATATATATATATATATGTATTGAGTTAGTCAATAAGTAATATCGGAATTTTTAATATTTTATATTTAACAATAAATGCATTCAGTATTGAACATCAAACATTGGATTCAGTATTTTTTATGGAAATTGTTGACTTTATTTATTTATCAATTCAATATATTCCACTAATACGGAATAAACAATTGAGTCATTCAAAGCGTGTTTAGATCAACGATAAATCGCATTTACTATAATCTTCAATACAATGTAAAATTAAAGGATTAAATCAATTGAATGAAATTGTAAACATAACGCAAATGAAACAAAGAGGGAGTGAGCAAAGTTTTTAAATTGGTATATTGATTGAGAAATATCTTTGATAATTAAAGTATTAAATTAAATATAATAAAATAATAAATTAAAACTTTATAGATAAGTATCATTATGTGGAATTAATGAACGAAATAATGTAAAATCTATCAATCAAGTTGAAGTACGAATAATTACTTATAAGAAAAAGTATTTGTCGATATTTGCTGTTCGAAAGAAAAACTATGTAGTCACAGTTTTTCTTCAGCTTGTCGTTCGTGTTTCAACCGACAACGGTACCGTATATATACGAAAATAAATTACGAAGTGTTTCTTAATGAAACCTTTGTACAGACGAACGTCGTGGTAATTTTTCAAGGCTTGTCTCATACTTGTCCTAAGTCGCGACAAGCCAGAAACGAAACGCGAAGAATGACGCGTATCCATTTTATGAGACTCGAGTACAAAATCACTTTAAGTTAAGATTCAATTAAGTATATACTGGAGTTAATGGACTACGATGGTAAGAGAAATTTAAAATAGCTATTTCCTTAATACATAGTAAGTCGATAAAATAATTGCTTTTAATATATAAAGGCAACATTGCACATTAAACATAAGTTATAATATTTGTGGTAGTTAAGATGTTATTCGAAATATGTGGTATTTACATAGATGTATACATACATACATACATGTAATAGCAAACTATCACAATTGAAAATAATTTTAATTATATAGAGAAAAGAGCAATTGTTTAATTCTTCTCTTTAAACAGTTGTATTAAATTCACCATTGCCGTTGAATGGTTGCCGTTGAATGAGACGCTGATAAACTATACCTGATTTGGATATAGTTTATAACGGTAACTTGTGCATTCAGCTATATGATGCGGATTGAAGGAGAAGTTACAAGAACAGAAGTGATCATCTTCAATTAGAAATCAGTTCACGAATTAGATTGGAATAAGACCGATCGATTTCGTTTATAGATAAAACCTGTAATATTGCTTGTGCATTAAATTGAGAATTAATTAGATAGATCGTATTGGTCACTTATTAAATTAAATTCTATTGATCAGTCAAAGTACTGAATTTCGAGGAATATCCTAATATTATTATACAGTAAGAGCACCAGTTGCTTACAGAAAGTTGCGAATTATCAAGGGAATGTAATTAAGCAAAGAATGTGGATTATTCTGCGCGTATTAAACTCAGGAGTACTTGAAATACCTACCACATGAGTACGCCAACGATGTCGAGAGATCCTGTTTAAAGTATTTAAATCCGTCTTTTCTAAGAACAATTAATTCATGAAATCAAATAGATGAGATTTGTTTATTTATATACTTAATAAAGTTATATATTAATTTATATATATTAATTTAATACATTAATTTAATACATTAATTTAATACTTTAATTTAATATTTATATATAATAATTTAATGAAGATAATCTTATGCTTCAATATATGTCATTAGTTTCGTATTAGTTTCGTAATATTATTTTCCACTAGACAAATCTATTAATATGAAATACTTTGAGTTATTATTTTAACCCGATGTGTAGGTTTAAAATAGATTTAGATTAAGCAACAAGATACATGGTACATCTATTTCTCAATTCATAAATAAACCTTCTTGATCAAGTTGTACTTTCGACTTCAACGTGATCTTTTCTTATCTATCATCGATGTATATACCACGTGTACATATATGTCCGATAAAAGAAAAAGTCAAGTTAAGATCGTTCGATATTCTGAAAATGAAACTTCGATCGATAAGTTAAACCAGCCTTAGACTTGATTTTCGTAATTCCTTGGGGTATAACGTGTGCATCGTTTTCAGGCGTCCCAAGTGGCCAGTAGTTGTATCATACTCCATACATGAGATTAGAAAACGAAAAGGTTCTATTTTTGACTGTTAACCTAGAATTATGTTGTAACAATTACTCGATCGAATACTATACGATATATACCAAAATAAAAAAATAAAAATTGTTCCATATCAGGATCTGCGTTATGATACATTGTTTTTTCTTTCGATACTTGTGACTCCATTTTTTTAATTTTTTTTTTCCTTTTTGTATTTTTTTCTTTTCTTTTTTCTTTTCACGTGAGCAGATTTTTTTCAAAAGCTCTGTAAAGAATATTTTTCCGAAAAATGTATCGTGCCTCGATCCCTGCTGGAATTTATTCACGAAAATTCTTTCGTACGTCTTTTGTCATACTCATATGAACGAGAAAAGCAAAGAGAAAAAGAAAATAGAAAAAGAAACAGAGTGAGAGTGAGAGAGAGAGAGAGAGAGAGGGGGAGAGAGAGCGAGAGAGAGAGAGGGGAGAGAGAGCGAGAGAGAGAGAGGGGGAGAGAGAGCGAGAGAGAGTGAGAGAGAGTGAAAAAGAAAGAGAGAGAGAGAAATGAAGAAAGCACAGTATGTACATTTGCTGTGTTCAAATAGTAGGTTTCTCGATGCATGTAATCCAACATAAGCATAAGTCATTACATCCTACTATTCTATATTTGTATACTTGTTCACATATATCTGGTATATGAGCACACAAACATTCGTATGTACGCATATACACAATATCTTGACGTTTCTGACTTGATTTCTCCGAGCACCCAATCCCTTTCCTCTCTTTTTCTCTTTTCTTTATATCTATTTTTTTCTCTGTTTCTCGCTCTAAAGACCAGTTCGCGAGTATTCGCAGTGCCTTTTGATTATGCGCCATAGCCGGGAGGCTCGATGTTTAATTTCTTTGTCCATGAGATAGGCCGTGAAATGTGTCGCGGTAGAGAGAGAAAAAAAAAGAAGAAGAAGAAAAAGAAGAAAAAAAAATAAAGAAAGAAAGAAAAAAGAAAAGAGAAGAAGAGAAAAAAAGATAAGAGACAGAGAGAAAAATTTCAACGGGCACAGGTAGGCGTATAAACGGCACATGCAAGAAATCCGCGTGGTTCTCCTGCTATATTGCTTTTCTTTGTTATAAAACCATTGCCTGTATTTCTTCTCCTCTCTTCGATTTTTGAAATACGTCTTTTTTCCTTTTTTTTTTTTTTATTTCCCTTTTATCTCCCTTAATGACGAAAGTAGACGGAGAATGGATGGCCTTCGTATTAGTCGTTTCTTCGATATATGTATATGTATATTTCACCATTAATACTTCTTCAATATATGTACATGCATGTACCATTAATACTTCTTTAATGTATGTATATACCGTATGACTTTTAATCGTCTATCTTATGTCCTAAATTTGTCAAAAATATTTATGACAATTGATTTTACAAAAATCAATTACTTAAATAATCTTATTATACCCTGTTGAGAATATTCTTTCCAATTTATTATATATTTAATTATTTAGATCAATCGTGATTAATTAATGTATGTAATATTTTGATTGATGTGATTTATTGGAAACCTTTCATGATACCATCGTGAATTTGAATCTGTGAAATATATATTTTTAACAAATAAAATGAAATTCGTCTTATAATCAATTATTATTTTGATATTTTTATAGGAGAAAGAAAAAGGACTTTCATCGAAATTATTGTCAGTTTCCAAAGGTTGGCGAAATGATATTAACGTTGAATAGCTCAAACCTGCTTCCGCATACGTAAAGAAATGCTGACAGTGCACAAATGTATCCTAAAGCGTTGTCGCTTACATACATGCATATATAGATGATAAAGAGAGTACACCTGTTCTTTGATTTGTCAGCACTTTGATGGTACAAAAAGCTATCCATGGGGTTTCCCAATATTGTAGTCTTTCTATTTCTTATTATGTTATTATGTCTCCTTTACTTTTTCTCTCTCTCTTTCTCTCTCTCTCTTTTCTTCATTTCCTTTTTCATCTTCATTTTCTATTCCTTTCCTTTTTTTTCTTTCACCAAATTCCTATTACAAGGAGAAAGAATTCATTTGAAAGAACAATATCGCGATGTTATTGTTCTCTCCCGAGGAAAGTTTCAGCAGATTTTTACTTCTTAGTAAGGTTGTTAATAACAAAAGCAAACTTATTCCTTCTATTTTTAATAAATAATTTCTTTCCAAGAGTTGAAAGGTGGTGCAGCGCTGGTAGAGTTACACTTTTCTTTTTTTTTTTTTTTCTTTTTTTTATCAGAAAGAGAAGAAAAAGTTGATCGGTCGAAACGTTGTCCGATAAAGTTTTCTCGACAAGAGATTTCATGGACAAAAGATTTGATCTTTTCAGTTCGTAAATAAAAGCTCACGAGATTAAGGCTGTTCATCAACTCTCTTGTTTCTATAATGGTTTACGCCAACAATGTATCCAACTGTAATTCTTGACCTATTTCGATGAACAAGATCTCATCTATACTATAATACTTGTATAAAAGAATTTCGTTAAAAATTTAATTTACACGTTATTATAATTCAATTAGGATTAATAAGGAACAACAGAAATGGTAGATAAACAAAACAACATATATTTAATTCGTCATAGAGTTTACTTGTCGCATTGTTCATAAGTATATAATCATTTCGAACCTAAAACTCTGCGTATAAATATTATCGACATAGGATTTCTCATTGGACTTTTGTTATAACCGTAGTCTCACGTGTAGCTCGACATCGGTGTATAGCTCCTTCACGCTTAGCTTTCTGATTAAAATCGAATAATTTATCGTTTTATTAATTTCTCGATTTCGAAGGAAATTATCGATAAAGTTGATGAAGAGAAAAGGCTAGTTGATGTGTGTTTCATCGAAGGATTTCTGATTGTTTTCTTTTTTTTTTTGTTTTTTCTTTTCTTTTCTTTTCCGTTGTTTTCTTTTCTTTAAAAAAGTGTTTATATGTTGTTGCAAATTCCAAGTTCTGTAATCGCAGCTTGAATGTGAGCGTTTAAGGATTCCTTTGCATCTACGTCACTGTGTTGATAGCCATTCAGAAAATAACAGGTCCCAGATGTGTTTGCTGGCATTTCCTTCGGTAAATTATTCTTGGTCCGCGGTTCCAAAATGAATCCTGATGTCTTAATTAAGTGTCTAAAATTAGATAACATAATTTATAGAAAAGTTAGACAATATTGACTAATCTAATGTAAAATTTGTTATATCGCGAAAATACATCAATACTAAAGAGATATTTTTCTTCGTTATACATACAGATACGTCATGGGGCTGACATTAACTCGTAATGGCTCGCTCGTAGATTCAAATTTGTTGGCCAGCGTTACATTGTGCCCGAAAAGACAATACCTCGGCATTTTTTTACCTACTACTCCAGCCAATACCATTCCTGTATGAATACCAATACGCATCTGAAAAATAATAACTATAATAATATTTTGAAATTAGCTATTGGAACGATTTCATGAATATCCGAAGAGAGTTAACGTTCGATGAGATAAGAAAATGTAAAAGAAAAGTATAAAAATAAAATTTGCGAAGCTTCTTTTAAAAGTTAATTTTAATGTATAAATCTTTTCTTTTTCTTTGCCGTATCGCAGCAGTAGTCCGTTATCAACGCGAATAAGGGATACTTTATAATGGGAAAAGTTTTAATAGTCTTCAAGAAGGAAATAATAAACAATAGTTGGATGATATTGTTAGGTAGGTTAATAGTAATAAAAAATATTATTGATCTCTACACGCATCAATATTATCATCTACCATGATAAGTTTTGTATTCAATCTTTCTAGCAAAATGAATAATTTATTACACTTCCTTTATTTTGAAAATATAGAAAATGAATTGAATAATTTATCGATAAATAAGCGTTATTATTACCTTGATAGGTTTTCCCTCGTGCGTTAAATGTTGAGTACACGTTTGTATCATTTTTAAGCCCATCCAAGCGATTTGTTGTGCATGAGTATTTGTATTTCGATGCAAACCACACGCCACGCAATAAGCATCGCCTATTGTTTCTACCTAATACCGGAATAAGTTAAAAATTACAAAAAGTTTTCCGTAGATATCACGTTTCGATGCATCACAGTTATTAAAGATTAATTATAAATAATAACACACTTTGTATACGTCCAATTGTCCGCAAAATATATCAAATTGTTCGTAAAGATTTTGAAGCATATTTACGACCATCATTGGAGTTGCTGTCGAACATATTGCTGTGAATCCGACGATATCGCTGAAAAGCATCGTCACGTCCGAATACATTTTTGCTTCAATCGTTTCACCTACAAAAGAAAAATTTCCATTCCATATTCCAAATTATATGTATCTTACTCATGTAAAGATCTCATTTTTCCCATTTCTTTACTATCAGCCCTTAAAATTGCTCCCTGACTTATCATAAATCGGCAATGAAACGACCTTATGATATTTTTTTCATAAGAGTCATTTCGTAATTCAGAAAATTGATGACCAATATTATTTTTTTATTCATAGAAACAATGATATTTTTTACAAAATAACTTGTTGTCAAAATGAATTCATTTTTATTTAAAAATTTTTCTATATTAAAGATCTCTACCTTACCAATATCCGTGACTTACCCAACCATAGACGCTTCGCTATATCCGGTGGAAATATAAGATGAAGCAGACTAACGTTCTTTTCTCTTTCAACATCGACCGCTCTGTTAGCTTCTTCTATGGAGCTTTTTAATTTATCCATACGTCTTCTTAAGCCATCCTACAAGGGAATACATTTATTTCTTTAATTTATTTTATATAGTATTTTCTTATCAATATCCGATATTTAAGATACATGAAATACAATCATAATTTATGTCCATTTCGCTATATATTTTATGACTCTAGGTAACATACTACTTGTCAGTAAATACAGATGCACTAGCCATTAAAATGGCTGTGTGAGAGAGTAAATAAGATTAAAGAAAATATATATATATATATATATATATATATATATATATATATATATTGATTTACTCCTTTCACATTTCACAGTGCATTATTACTACGAGAAGGTACATAAACTTATTTTGTTAGCGTTTCTTAACGTCTTAATATCGACCATTGAACGGATATTATTCTTCTTATGAACTCGTTTCAATGTTCAATACGATTTTATTTGTTGACAAAATAAAGACGTGATTTGTTACCTGAGCTCTTGCTTGTTCGCCCACTAAGATAACGTCTCTCGTAGCATCATGGAGTGGTATATCAGAAATAAAGAGACCTCTTCCTGTGAGACCGTCTAATCCATTAAGAAACGGCGAACTCACGAATAAAATCGAATCTGATTCCGGACAATGAACCATTTGGCCCTTCATTTCCAAACCCTAAAAATAGATTTTAAAGTAGATAATAGTTGATTAATATTATTCATTTTTTAGCTCGTTATGTTTTATAATAATTATTTAGTAGGATCTTGTGGAATTAGTACAGGATTGGAATCGATCAGGAATGTATTCAAACTATTCGAATTGTGGTTACGAATTACGAGATTGTACAGTTTGATATTGTCTAGAGAGGAACATACATGGTATAATATAGAACTATCAACGATATCCACCTTGATGTCTATATTTATCTAACATAGTATGTTATTAACATAGTATGTTAATTATTTACTAATGCTCTTTATCAAACAATATATCAATGAATTATGTTACATTTTCTATAAACCGTAGAAGTAACGAGATGAATTCGTTAGATGTTAATACCGTAATTTATCTGGATTATTTGAAATATATTATTAACGATGGATGAAACAAAGTAAAAGTTTTCTAAACTCATAGGGGATTTATATACCTCAGCAGGATATTTCTCAGCGCCGTGTGGCCTTTGTAACGTTAGAACAAATGGCGTGTTCGCGCGCTTCAGAATCTCTTGAAAGGTCAAAGTAATCCCGTGTGGTCGAGTGAACACAAAGTACGTCGATATTCCCCTTCCAAGGCGATCCAAATAATGACCGAAGATTTTCATAAAGCCGACACCCAATTGGACGAACTCGAAGTTTTTATCGACGACGAAGTGCCATGGGAAAGCTTTGCAAAAGCTTGCCACCCCCAAACGAAGGTCTCTGGCTTCAGTGGAGAGTGGACAGAAATAATGTGGCGCGACTACGTCGGAATCGTCGTCGATTCGATCACTATAACGTTCTGGCGTGATGCGATACCTGAAAGATAACTCGACCGTTAGCGAATCTTATATCCTACTCTTTAAAAGCTATTTCGATCCATCTAAAAGAACTTGGATCTTTTTGACAATCACTCTACCAGAGAAAATTTCTTCAAAGGTGATAGACAGATGGATAGATAAACAGAGGAGACAAAAGATATATTTTTTGAAAAACGTATTTTTTCACCGTAGCTATGATTTTTTTCGTAAAATTATTCTTATTATTACTCGCAAACGAATAGTTTTATCAGCGATTTAAACGATCGAAAACAATGTTACGAACATTGGGTGTTATATTATTAGTCATACGTGACGTTTGTCGAATTTGTCAAACTTTCCAACTCGTACATACCTACTAACTGTACTTCCGGTAACTATCATTTTCACGGATTCATGTCTGATCTTGCATTTCGTATTCCACACATTCATTCGATAATGAAACCTCCTAGACGATGTTATAATCGATAACGTGTTTTCATTGCTGAAGAAATAACGGTCTAAGTGCTAATATAATCAATTAGTAAGGAACAAACTTACGATCGAAAAATAACTTATTGTTTGTTTTTTTCTTGTTGTTTCTTTCGAATAATATTATTAACTTTATCGCTATTATTAACATTTTCAAAAAAAAATTTCTACTTGGAGAATTTAATCGATGTTGCAGAGATATTATACTTCATTCGCAAATAGGTTGCATACATACTCGAAAATGAAAAATCGACTTTTGTATTTTATCCTCTGTCAAATATTTGCAATGCACCATTGATCAATATTTATTTATATTCGAATCAGGAAAAAAAAAAAGAAAATAAATCACAATTGTTGGTAAATTTTAAAGTTCCTTCCATTATATCTATGAATTATATTTCCTAAACGAGTTTCAGTGATATCGGTATATGATTGACGCGACAAACGAATAATACGTATGAATTCCCTGAAACTACTGAAGTTATAACCACGATAAAGACATGCAGAATATCTTAGTAGAGAAATCGATATTTCAGAATTTCAATTCTGCGTCATAAGTTTATCGATAAAGAATTTCAAATAAATTTTATCCTATATAAATTCTTTTTTCTTCGTTTAAGATTTAACTAAATAAAACAAAAGAAAGAACCAAACAAACATATATATATATATATATATATATATATATATATATATATATATAAATATATATAAAATTTCTTAAACTCTACGGTAACGAATTAAAATCATAAAATGAATTGTAATCGAAGTTTCGATGATAATTACCTAAAAAATTTGGAATTATAAGGATCGGGCAATATGTACACATCAGCTTTGTCGTTATAAAACTGTCTGGCGATGCCCTTGAGGCTACCAACGAGAAGATAGGCGACGGACGGGTAATCGGTCGTGAAATGTAACTCCAACGCTTCCGGTGTCGCGATGCACACGAACTCGGCCTCGTTATCCGAGCCGGACTGATGTTGAACGACGTCGTTGACGCCGTCGAGAGTCGTCAGGAAGGCTGTCAGATCATTTCCAAGGCATCGAAAAGCCCGCCCAAGAAGGCCGACGCATGCAGTAGTGATCAATTCTTGTCCTAGCTCGTCGAGAAACGCTTCGACGTCGACTTCTAAAAAATAAAAAAAAAATATGATGTTTTTTCTCTTTTTTTCTCTCTCTCTCTCTCTCACTCTCTCTCTCTCTCTCTCTCTCTCTCTCTCTCTCTCTCACTCTCTCTCTATTTCTTTCTCTATTTGTCTTTTTCGTTTTGACTTTTTTCTTATACGACATAAGCCGTCGCTTAGAGTTTACTTTATTGACAGTACGTGCCTATAACTATATTCCCTAAAGCGACTTCAATGTTACGTATATTTCAAACGGATATCCGTTTTATCACATATCTTTCGTTATTGTCTTGGACGTTTAAAGAAGCAACTTCTTTATTTTTTGTGTAAAGCCAAAGACTGTATCTGTAAGTAGAATTTAATCTGCATATAAATATTACCTGTCGATACCCGAGAAAAGCTATAAACCAATCGATTCATATGGTAATACACGTACGATATTAGATAGTTTCAGAAGAAAGAAAATTTTTCGATCCCGAGGATTTTTCCAAGAAGCCGAGAAACCAACTTATAATACTTTTTTTAAGCCAACTGAACGCTTATATTCCCAAGATACGTTCGTATTTAATGTTTAATACTTGCCATATTTCTTAGAAAGTTAACGTTTATTCTGATAATAAATATGAGAAGTTTCGTTTTTATTCCGAAGTCATTCAGCAACGATCTTCACACGATCGTTAAATAAGCGATGGAGAAAAAAAACGAAAAAGAAGAAGAAGAAGAAGAAGAAGAAGAGAGAGATAGAAGAAACTCTCATCTTCGGTCTTCCTATTCTTTACCCCTTTTAAGGCCAGTACTTGCAGATCCCTCATGAGATTCCGAAAATAGATACGACCAAAGTCTTTTAACCGATGGCTTCGTTACTATATTATTTTACATTACATGCGCGCGAGAAAACTCGATAATCGATAACGGCCAACGTAATACATGATAACATGCACCAAGAATGACCATCCATCTGGAATATCTCGTGATGAGGGCCCATCAAATCGTACGGTAAAACTTTAACGAAAATTTTTCAAGTAGAATTCTTTTTACTTGTCTTTTCCTCTCTTTCTTTCATTCATTTATTCTTTCTTTCTTTCTTTCTTTCTTTCATTTCTTATTATTTTTAAATTGATGAGTACCCACAATTTCATCCGACAAAAGAAAAATCATTTTATTGTATATTCATTCGATATCAATCGAACAATCAGCTGTTACGATAAGATTGCAGAAAGATTATTATAATAAAATGCAAGAAAGACTACAAAAAGAAAAGTAATAGAGAAATAAAGTGAACGTTTACATGAGCATTTACAAAGATCTATCCTTTTTTCTTTACCTGCCTCTAACAATTTTGTCATAATCGTAATACTGGTGTACGATACGTGCTTTTTTCCAGATGGTAACTCTGACGAACGAATCTCACGATAAATCTGAAAATCCAGCCATCAAAAGAGATGCACGCTCAATATCACTGTCGTACATCGTTGAGAGGATCGATTCGTTTTCAAATCGATATTCAATGTGATCAACACAAACCGTAGAAGAAGAAAATTACGTTTGAATTACACTTTTATTTTTTTGTTATTGCGATATCCGTTTCACATTCCTGTGATATTAAATACGATGAATAATAAAGTTGCGAATTGCGAGAGGTCGAATATGAGTAATAATTACGAGCTTTCGAGAACGCGTAAAAATATTAAAGTTAAATTAAAGAAAAATTAAATTCATACCACCCGACGAAGTTACTTTCTCTCTCTTTTTCTCTCTCTCTCTCTCTCTCTCTCTTTTTTTCTCTCTTTCTCTGTAACGATATATTTCAAAGTATGCATATACATACATATGTAAGTATGTAAATTTGAAATATCAGTTTAAGCATAGTACGAATTTCAGATTTTGAACGAACATTTTTCTTATTATTATGCAAATTAAAATCAGTATGTCATCTCTATCGCGTTTTATATTCTTTGTAGCAGTACATTCAAATGCTCTAACGATATAATCTTTGATTTATCATTTTAGTTTGGTTAGCTCTCGGTAGAAAACCATAATGTAAAAGCAATCCGCTTCTTAGGAAAAATTCATACGAGTGAATATGAGTTCATCGCATTAGCAAATATCTATAGTTCAAAATTTCTTTTTCTTAATATATTCTTTTATTCGTTAAAATAAAATCATTTGAAGCGATTCTATATTAACACGAATACATATGCGTCTTTGACAAAAAAAAAGCAGGATTAAAGTTTTGAGAGAACTTGCGTCACGTCGTGGCAGGAAGTTCCGTTTCCGCTCGAGAAACTACGCAGAGTGCTTCCGCAGTACGAACTACTTGTTCCCGTCGTGTTTACAAATATCAACTGATCACGACACCGTGAATAACGCTGAAATATTATTTGCGAAAAATCTCGAGAACACTTCTCATAAAAGATAATTCATTTTTAAAGATTTTTTTCATTGACCAAAATATGAAATAGAATAAAAGTACAGCTAGCAAACTTGTTTTTGACGAATGACATCTTTTTCGTTTTCTCAAATCTATTATAAGCGAATGAGGATATAAAAATGATACAAATTGGTTTCTAAAATTTTTTATTTTCCAATAAAGCGATTAATAAATTAATTCTAAGATTTATCGATGAGTTTGTTTTTTAACGAAACGTAAACAATTTTATCCGTCAAAGCATATTTTCCTTGATGTTTCTATACATCGGAAATAGTGCAATATCTATCACAGTTACGTGCCATTGGTAAGTTTATCGTCGGTGTCTCTCGAAATACCGTCGGTTTTGCTAAGAGCTGCTTATAAAGCATCGTACCATGTTACTAGTTTAACGAACCATTACGTTCTACTACACGAAAGATAAATTTCCTTGTTGGCCGCAATGGCGAATGTGCACAGAGACTTTACGCCTTAAAATCAGAGATGTTTAAAGATTTTACGAGGTAAATTTCTTGTATTAGAATTATAATCTTCCTCCCTCTCTACTCTTCATCGATATTGGTAACCAATGTTGAATTCTGATTGCCAAAGACAAATCTGTGTACATTACTGTTTGTTGGATATCGAGTGACCAATTCAAATCAACCGGCTGATTAATGGGACGTTCCTGGAGTAGCGTTTAATTGTAACCACAGTACTTGACGGTCCAGTGCAAATTAGGTTAACATACTCTCCAAGATGAAGGTTTGAGTAAAATCCACCATCGATAGACAGGTTTCATGTCAATCTCCGATATATATCCTTTGATCGTATCTATCTACTCTACTTGTCCACTCGTCCATCTTCCTAGTCTTCTCTCTCTCTCTCTCTCTCTCTCTCTCTCTCTCTCTCTCTCTTCTCTTTGTTTCATCCGACCTCCGAAATCAGATCGTTCGAAGAGTTTTGTTCATGCAAAGTTCACTTTCAAGAGGGCAGATTGTAATAAAACTCTTTCAAATCGACTTTCAAGTTTTGATCTACGATGATCAACAAGCAGAATTAATAATCATTACGTCAAATTAATCCGTCAAATTAGATATAGATTTACACGTGGATTTAATGATTCGAAAAAAGACAGATTGATTTATCGTTTTCTAATTAAAATGATTTCATATGTTGAGTTAATTGCGAGAAATATTTTAGATAACATGAGAACGAAATTTTCTTCAGCGTATATTCGACGCTACATTATATTTAAAATAGTAAAATTTTAAAAGGAATGATATTAGATTTTCAGAATTTTTCTTCATGCATGAGAGATTAAATGCAAACGTATTGAGTATTTAATTTCAATTAACTATGAATTAAATTGAAAAGTAAGATTTTAAATTAATTTAAGTTTAGGATTAATATTTGCGGTACCGTATTTGTTTAAAATATAATAAATTGGAAAAATTTATATATTGGAAATATTTATAATATGGAAATAAAATAATGTAGGTAACTTTTTTTATTCTTTTCCCTTTTCTTTTTTTATACGATTAACTGAAGAGAGAAGAACGTTCGAATAAATAGTCTGAATAGATTTTAATTAATTTCTATAAATCTTCTCTCTCGTGAGAATCCGTTATTACTGAAAGTTACTAAGAATTATAGACACTTCATATTCTCGTTAACGATTTTCCAGGGACAATAGATAAGATCGACTTTTATCTTTTAGTCTTAACCTTGTAAAGTTAAAACAAGTTTTCTTAAGGTGTCATTCGCGACGTACTCACGAAGATTTCAATGACAATAAATTTCATAGCGTTTGTCACAAGTCAGAAAAATCGTCCAATTGACATCGTTTTTGGACGGCGCCAGTAATGTCGTTAACATTATTCCGAATACGAGCTATGACTCATATAGAACTTCAAGAGTTGTTTCACTATTTACGTGGAAAATCACATTTCTAGGAACGTCAAATTTTTTTTATATAAAATATATATCTATGTATTTTTATAGGGATATGAATGAATCAATCTAAAAGAATCAATTACTACGACCAATAAATACATTCGTAGAAACCAATAAATAAAGCGTGATCATATTGTACATTAGTATTTGTTTTGTTTTTGTTCGGCGTTATTTATTTTGTTCCTAATAATTGACCATCGTAAATGCTAGAAAGATTCGAATTAGTAGTCCGAATAGACGTGGTCTGCGATATGGTTGTAAATATTGGTAAATATAGGTAAATATAATAGTATACTTTTAATAATTAGTAAATATTTATAAATCAAAGGAGTAATTGATTTAAGAATCGAATGATTATTGATAAAAATAATTTCTTCGAATTCTAATTGATAAGATAATTCATTTTTATCGCAATAGTTTTATTTTTTTTTCTAATGGTTCATTTATTTCATCGCTCGACTTGATTTACAGCCGACGAGAATTGTCTATTTTTAAATGCATCGTAGTTCTCATAAAAACTATCTTATCGTTGAAAGGTTTGGCGAAAATTATCAGAGGCAAGCATCGTTCATGACATAAACTAACTTAGCCATCGGGTATTTCAGTACAGTCGACGTTACATACGTCGATATACATACATACGTCGATTGTAACGAACATACGTGTGTTCGTATGCTTTAATTAGAATTGAAAATCATTTCTAATTATAAACGAAATGAGGGAATCGATCTCGTTGTAGGGTCTTTCTATTATTCACAAAATTTTACCGTAAAAGAATTGGTCGAGCACAGTGAATTTCTCATTTTTTTGCTATTTTGAATGACATCGTCGACAATACGAGCTTTCAACTAGAATTCAGTAGAGACAAAAGGAGTGCGAGCAGGATTGCAGTTAGCTGTGGTTCGTCGTGCATCGATTCATTAAAATTCTCTCGCTTAACCCAGGAAGAAAGAAAAATAAAAAATAGAGTGAGCAATGAGCATGCATTCTCTTGCTAGATTACAACAAAGAAAATCATCGTAGGGATCATTTCTCATAAATCATAACGGAGTACGGATGCATCGCATTTCCAGAAAATAAATAATATATATATATATATATATATATATATGTATATATGTTATATATTTGTATTTGTATTTGTATTTATGTTTGCGACGAGGATCAACCAAAACAACTTTATAAAGATCACGGTCTTTTATCGTTGAAATGAATGTTCGACATTACATAGTGACAGTTCAGTATCAATATCGATGTTCATTTCTTTTCCACTTTTCTTTTCGTTCTATAGAATCTATGAAAAAGAATGATTGATGTTCCCTTCACGAAACACAAAATTTATAAAGCATTATTGTTAAAATATCGTATGTACAGTATCAATGAGAGAAAGAGAGATAGAGAGTGAAAATCTGAGTGTTTCATCGATTTAATCCATTAAATTTAGTCAGCTTGTATCGAAACAATGTGGCTTCTCTTTCCCACTAAATCAATAATCTCCCACCAGTTACGCGCATAAAATATTATCTTCGGTGCTCCGCTTTGGCCATGAGTGTCTTGCATGCAATTTCTCTGGATCAAGCCTTTCCTATCTCATTAATCTTTCAAAGCATGAATTGTCGTCGAACCTTCGCTCTTAATTGCACGAAATTCTTTTCGTTCTTAGATTCTGCGATATATTGATTATATACACACAGACAGACACGCACACACATACAGACACACACGCACACACACATATACATATACTAGTTTCAAAAACTTTTTCCGTTTTTTTCTTTCTTTTCCTAACATTTTTGAAATTTGTATTCCTTAAGTAATATCAACTTGTCGGTATACATATATTAGATAATATCTATCTATTTATGATCATTGTATTTATTATTTACATTTGACATTATTTCTAAATAAAAGACGTTCCTTACGATAAGGATCGTCCAAGAAGATGCCAACTTTTATTCAACCATTTAAGTATTCTCTAGAGACTATCTTCAAATCACGTAAAATTCGATATATGTGATTTAAATCGACTGAATCTTTAGATTTGTCTGTCGTATCAAGGTAGATACTATAAAAAGCAAGGAATCAGTGAAAACGAGTCAAGATATAACCTCGTACACTTTAACGATTACGAGATCGTGTTCGAGGTATAATACGACGGCCATTACATTGTTTTCTCGTTTTCTTTTTTTTTTTCTTTTTCGTTTTTGTTAGAAATCACCATAATCGGCTCGACGACCGCAAAAGCTATCAGCGTACTGTGTTTCTTCTTTGTTTTGCATTACTTACGTATATACGGTAACGCGGATATAAAAATAAAAAAAGAAAAGAGAAAAGACCCAATGGCATGTATACCAAAAGCTACAAAGTTATTATCCTAGAGGCAGCCTTTATGGCGTCGGATCCTTTTGAAGGGAACGACCGACGAAAAATCGACTAGAAACGGAGCCAAACAAAAAGAGGGAATATAAAAAAGTAGACAAACGTCAAAAGATATAAAAGATAGGACAATGTTTCTAAACAGTTTACTTTGAAATCCTTCTTTTTTCTTTTTTTTTCGACGGTGCTTAAATCATTTCACACAAAAAGCAGACTTAAGTATCTCACTAAAAATAATATTTTTTCGTCCTATTTCGACCTATCCATATCTTTCATATTATTAATCAATTTAATCTTTAATGTCCGTCTCCAAAAAGTGTTCCATGGATTTCATCCTAATGAAAGTGGATAGATTTAATTTATTTCATAAAATCATGATCACACTTTTATTTCGTGATCCACTAAAAAGTTAAGTCTTAATAAACGGTATCAACGATAATGAAAAGAACTCAGCTACGATATGAAAGGGTGAGGAAGGCTGCCAGAGAAATAGTATACGAGTTGAAAGAGTTCGTATCTCGCAATGGATAGAAACGTCCAACCTAATTAACCTTTCCCGCTAGAGTAAACGAACCTCGAAGATTTTCATGCAATTTTATTCGAAAAGCATAACGCCCGGAGTCAGCTCGAAATTCTTGATGTCGGAGTGAGTCCAATCAATAGTGTTAAATGAATAGGAGATGCATTGGTTTGGATGTGGTTAGAGCACTATTCCATCGCTAAGGTGGATCGTTATCAGGATGGTTAGTGTTTAATTGAATACCTGTACTCTATTCGTTCAATCAATTCTATTGAATAAAAACGTTTTATTCTAGTCGGATTTTTATCAACTGACGCAATTAATATACAATACAATATATAATTGATATAGAATATTGTATATCCATTAGCCACAAGGTCTATCATAGAGTATTATATTCCTACTCTTTGATTACCTTTATTTGTAATCTTATTTGTAACATTTTAATTTAATTTCACTGATTTAAACGTTTCAATAGTAACAAACGAGGAAGTTGGTATTACCGTTTCTTTTCGTAGAATATGAAGCCGGAAAAGTTTGGTTATAAGTTTGTATGTCTTTTCACGGGAGAACATTTATGCCGTATGGCTTCGGCAAAAAGATGAAAGGATAACAAAGGGTAACATTAGTACAATGTTGTTAATTTCATTAGCGCTCTTGAATAACATGAAATGTTTTATTTAATTATACTCGATAGTGCTTTACATGCCAATGTATTTATCAAACGTTTCACGTATTATTATATTGTAAACACTTACCGCAGTCGTAATTTAATGTTTCATATATATCTTCCAACAAGTTGTAGTTTTTTTCCGTGTCGACGTTATAAAGTAGCTTGTCTCTGAAACAAGTACAGATATTGTTCATTTTTGTAAATCTTTTTTTACAAATAAAATTACGATATTTTCATGCGCCTCGAGTTAATATAAATGTTATAATATAAATTATGGTAAATAAGTAAGGGAAAGCTAATATTATAACTGGAGAAAGCTAGAAGACTAATGAAAAATTATTATGGAAACAAGATAAGATGAAAATACTTACAGGGATGTAGAACTTGGAAGAGACACTTCGCTTTTGCTCAATAGGGCCTCCAAAGCTACAGCGATCACTTCGTTCTGTAAAAAATAAATCGAACATTATTTTAACGCATAACTAGAAAATTTATTTATTGTTTTTCTTTTATTTTTTTTTTTTTTTAATAATAGCTCTCGAGTCAATAGACGTTTCGTCTCAAAAAAAAAAAAAAAGAAAACAAGAACTATCTTGTAAAATTGACATCGAAAATAAGTATTCCATATTAAATGCATGTTTTCTTTTAAACATAAAACATGATACATTCACTCTTTATCATTTTTTTTACAAGTGTTTGTACTTCTTTAAAGATTTGCTCTTTTGCGATTACGGAATTTCATCATCCTCCTAACATGAATCATACGAAATTTCGAGGCAATAACTAAAAACTTTCATGATCCATCTTCGATAAACGAACATTTCCGACGTTTGAGAGCATCATAGATCTTCCGAAAGTTTGGTAAATGTCTTAAAAATTTTATCTCTCCCCGAAGAATTATTGTTTCGTTCGATTCTTTTTACATTGTAATGCAATTTTTTCAGAAATGGAAATTTTCTTTTTTTTTTTTTTGTTGAAAACTAATATATTTTTTATGATGATTTTTCTAATATCTCTTGAAAATTTTCGAATCCATAGAAATTAAATAATTTTCTGCTTCGATTGGATGCATCGAATTACATCAAATTGTCGTTCGACCCGCTTGAACGGAATTGTTTCGTCGATAGCCGACTAGAATCGAGTTAGGACGGGCATGATTGAAACGGCGAAGTTTAATATTAAGAGAACATTTGCATCTCTGCATTCGTTGAAAAGGAATATATTTAAGCGTGTGATGCATTTTCAAGGAATGAGAAATCATTTTCATTCTTTTATAAAATATATTTCAATTTTTTCTCTTCGTCTAATTAATCATGAATTTATGTCAAATAATAATTTCGTTATATTGATTAAGACAAATTTCACATATGTACTTGAAATACAAAAGTATTTCATAAATTTTATTAACGTGTAATTATTCATATTTTAATGTTACAATGTTATTAAATTAGAAATGGATTAACATAGTAATGTTAATAGTAACTTGGTTTATTATTTCAGAGATCATTGATATCAATCATAGTATATATATATGTGTGTGTGTGTATGCGTAAATAAAAAACAGATATTACATTTGAGTTCATTCTATACAATCGACTTACATAACAAATTGCGAGGAAAACACGAATAAAAGAAAAGTGTTATCACTTGAATCACTATTCGATTAGTGAGATAGAATGAAATTGCGAATGATAGGGTAAAGCTGTAAAAGCCTAGAATAGTCGATAAAAAGTGTGTCGGTTAGTAATCACACGCTTTGGAGATTCGATTGAGATCTACATATCGGATTGGAAAATCCACTGGAAATTTACCTTCTATACCTTCTAGTATGTCCTTCTGTCGACTTCATTTAATGAAAGTAAGAAATTTCCTTCGGGTTTTAATAGGAAATATTTTGAGAGTATTCAAGATAATTACTTTTTCCAAGGTGAAAACTATAGTATTTATTATGTTGAGATTTTTTGCGGTTGGTTCGGAAATAATATTGTGTGTAAAAGATGATCGAAGCTTTCATTATTGGTTGATCATAAGTTTAAAAGTTTCTTTAAGTTATTGATATTTTCCAGACTATTATAATCAAATATCTGATAGCTATTACTTTCAATAGATTATTGGGTTCATTAAAAATTATACATTCATATATAAGATATATAAAATTTTATATATACATTTTTTAATTATATCATACACTATATATTAAAATACATGTTCGATACTTAGATTTATACAAACAAAACGATAAAAATTTTAATTTATCGTGAAATATGGAAAAAAAACACACAGAGTTTTTCAAATCCCAGCAAAAAATAAAAAAAAATAAAAATCCCACTGTTGAAATTGTTCACAGCGCATTCGAATCGTTGCAAGTCAGCAATTGTAATCGCTTTGTTTCGTTAACAAACGCAACGTTGGTTCTGAAGCGTGCTATTAACGAACATTTGAAACGCATTGAGCAAACATTTTTTCTGAAAGAAAAAGTGAAATATAATAAGAGCATTCATTATATAGTATTCATAAAATATTTCGTTTGTCTCTCTGTCCAAAGCCACATTGAATTTGGCAAAGTCAAAGGCGTTTACTTGAATTCAATGTCTCGATAGTTGTGCTCCAATTGGTGGCCAAAATCGATAGAGGTGCCGTCGAAAAGAGAGGACGAGAGAGAAATAGAAGAGAAAGACAGAGAGAGAGAGAGACAGAGAGAGAGAGAGAGAGAGAGAGAGAGAGAGAGAGAGTTATAGAAGGTCATTCAAACTATTATTTCACAGAAAGTACAAATATTTATAGAATATCAATGATTCTTCTAGAATCTTTAGGACATGGGAAACCAAAAGATGGATAATTAATCAAATATATTTTTTCGTTCACGATTCAACGATTTCACTCTTAATCATTCTCATTTGATGTAACTACATGTGATTTTGATTAATGATAATTTCATCAAATTTGATTGATTTCTATTAATCAAATAATCTATTCATTTCCATTCTCGTTTATCGCAAAGTCAAGAGAATCTAATCAGAAGGAATACTTTTCTTGTTGATAAATGATTGGATATTAATAAAATATCTTGTTTAGTAGAAAACGAACAGTATGGCGTCATGGAGAAGTTTTTGAGTTAATCAAGTATGTCACGTTAAAGCGTATTATCTTCTTCTTTTTTTTTTTTTTAACATGGTTAACAATTTTATAGGAGAAGTTATAATCTTTATAATACACAATTTTCAGATTCTCCGTAACTTAAAGTTCGCTCGCTCGTGGTACCCATTCCATTAAATTTTTTTTTCCTAACAGTTAAGCGACTGCAAGACTTTCTGCATTGTTCAAAAATTCGTTTTACTTTTCGAGCGCGACAAGAGATCTTATAAACTTTGTTTTGGAATATATTTTTTTCGATTAGCGTGCTTTTACTTTAAGCCGGGATTAAATCTTTCTAACATATACCTATTTATATATTCATTATTTCATTGCATTGCGTTGAAATTTTTAATGGAACTATATATATATATATATATATATTTTTTTTTTTTCAATCGATCTTTATTTATTTCAAATTCCGTTTGAAACTTCTAGATAATGTATTTCGATCGAGTACCTACGAATAATCTCAGTTTCTCTTCTCTTCGACTAGATTCTTCCCTTTTACGGATATCGCGAAGTAGACGGGACTATTCGATGAGTATACGCTCACTCACCGAACACAATTTCCGTTGATTTGCCTAAATAACGAAGTTTCGAAAGGGCCGCCAGTTCGATTCGTAGGAATGTCGTTGGAAACAAAATGTGAAGCTGATAGCCCGAAACAGAAATGGTGAAGTTGCAGTTTCGTAACACGTCACTGTCAAGTTTTCCATCGATCGGTTTAACAATATTAGTTACTGTACGAGTTTCATCTTTTTAAATTTCCCAGATTTTGTTATATCGTCAAAATTCTTTTTCCTTTTCCCTTATTTTCTTATAGCAATACGGTTCAATTTTCGATGAATCGAGATAATATGAAGTAAAGTTAAAAGAAACTTACACGATAATAATGCGAAAAGCGACGAACTATACCTTCTGTTCGCTTTTGTCACAATCTTTCGATGACAAATACAATAGTATCAAACTCGTCCTTCTTCTTTCTTTTTCTTTTTCTTTCGAAGAACGTACTCAATGCTCGATCATTTATCACGGAAAGGATGTGAATTATTAACGCTTCGTTGTTTGTCTTAAGGTCAAATTCATGAATTAAATAGTTTTAGAAATAATACTTAACAATGTTAATATTATTATTTCAGAAATAATGTTTTTTTTCTTTTCTAACAATAAAATCGTATATTAATTTGGATAACTTAAATCTTTTATAATATGTGATGTTAATTATAAATACGATTTAGAAAAAATATATATATATATATATCCAATGTTTAATAGAAAAATATTATCTTTTTGGATGATTGAAAAAATATTATCTTTTTTAATTTTCTTTCTTTCTTTTCTCTAAATAATAATCGATGAGATCAGGATAAGCTTAGCCAATATCCATTTAAGATTTTTTCGGGATAAGACATGGTAGGTGAATATATCTTTATAGAAATCTATTTGACAATAGATCTTTCTACCTTACAGCGAATCACGTATCCACTCAACGAATCTTTGTTCAATCCAAAGGAAAAGAAGAGTCGAATTGCGAAAAGGATAAAAAGAGTTTTCACAAAGGAAGAACAGCAAATTTTCGCGACCTTTTCAAAGAGAATATATCGTTTGTCCCCGTTGTTTCATCTTACTTGATACTCTCTTCACGAGAACGTTGCAATCGATTTACTCTTATAACATACAAGGAAATTCGAACGGAATAGTTGAAATTTGAGAATCGTTAAACGAGGAAGAAAATGGTTTACGGCTATCAGTCTTGCGTTCTCAAGCCTTACACATAATACCTATCAACCTATCGGGAAATTCAATGAATTTCGTTGAAGCGTTCGACAGGTGGAAGATGCACCTACTCAGACATTTTTATGCACCATTGGATAGGACCGGCTATTGTATCCCACCGGAACTGTATGCTTTTGGCATGAAACTTATGTGATACGCCATCTTATCTCGCTTCGAGTTAACTTGAATATCGAACTTTTTCGTAAGTAACGAAAAACTTTCGAGATTTAATAAATTCTCTTAAATTTTTATTGAACCAAGAAAAGAACGAAAATTAAATTCAATTTTTTGTATTTACATTATTCGGTAATAATAATAATAATAAGGATTATAATAATTATCAAACTATCTCGCAGATATCCCAGAAATTGACTTATTTATCGGATATATATGTTTCTTTCATGATTTATCGTATTTTTTAATTCTATGCTTTTGCATTTACTCGTTTTAATGCTATAAACTCGAAGAAGTTTATCGTTATTTTTATAGGATTTTAATAAGGAAGAAAATGGTTGGGGAAGTGGGGGAGGGGGT